GGCCGCTAGTCATCACCAACCACCGCCAACTCTTAGGCTACTCTTTTAGCAACGATTGACCGTCACATTATAACGCCCCCACGGCTGAAAGGGCGAACATGTTTGATGTGACGGGGATTAGAACCCGCGACCCTCAGACTGCGAGTCGAGCGCCTAACCACCTGGCCATGTCGGTCCCTATTATTGTCATCTGAAGATGGAGTAAGTAATAGCCTGTCAAGTTTTAGAGGTTAAAAGTTTTTCTTAATTGTCTTATCTTAGTGATTGCATGAATGTTGTGATTATAGATATCATTTAAGTGTTATTTTATAATTTAAAATACCCATGACGTGATTGATATTATAGATAATGTCTATTGTTGTGTGTATGGAGGGAAGTTTGACACAATTTATTATGTGGATTATTTCAATTTTTATGATGTAATTTGTATAAAAACATACTCCAAACTTCTTGTTTTGTAATTTTCTGATTGGTAATTTTAACAATTGGCAGACTGGGGACGCACCACGTGGATAGCCTACTTTCTAAACTAACTTGAGTAGCTAAATTTGTAAAAAATACGGTTCCTTTACATGGCTGTAGTGCTGCTGGAGTGCACCAGAGTGACATTTTGGCATCTGATATTGGAGCTGAGTCTCGACACTTCATAAACTCAAAAAATATATTTATATACCGTATTTTTCGGTGTATAAGACGCACCTTTTTACCCCAAAATTTGATGTCAAAATCTGCTTGCGTCCTATACACCGAAGGTATGAATAATATATATATATACAGTATATATATACGATATACACAAGCCATGTGTAAATATATTTAAGTAGGCATGCATAGTTTAGTTCAATTGAATGTGTTATTTATAACAATAGTATTTTTTTTCTTTTAAAAAACATAACTATTTATAATGCTCCCTAAATAATGAAAAAAATTAATTACAGTGAAAGCAGTGAAGATTTTGTAGGTTTTGAACCAAACTAAATAACAGTAAACCTTTTTTTGACTTACGATATTTTCTTATTTTGATGTTTTGAGCTCTTTTGTGTTTATAACAATATATATTAATTTTTAAAGTATCAAATTGAATTTTTGTTCAATAAAAATCTTTCAAATGCGACTGTAGCTTTTGTTTTCCCAAAACTTTGTCTTCAAAATAAGGGTGCGTCTTATATTCCGAAAAATACGGTAAGCAAGTGATCCAATTTACACCCGAAATTAAGTGTATTTCATAACCAAATACTCTGGCCGTTTATAATTCTCAGTGGCTATTGGTCCAGTTCTCTATTAGACTGCCCACACACTCTGCCACTCTCCCCCAGGAGCTGGCATCAGGTACTTGTGACCGATTCGGCTCAAGAATAGGTGTAAGATCGTTAAAACCGGGAAATGTTTTTGTCTCATGTCGCGTGATTATTAAGACACACAAATATGATATTAAAATATTGACTGAAACAAATTTTACAATTATCCTGAGTGTATGAAACGTACACATTTTGTAAAAGACTTATTATTTACATAATATAAAGCCCCGGCATGGCCAGGTGGTTAAGACGCTCTACTCGAAATCTGCGGGTCGCGGGTTCGCATCCCCCATCCCACC